ACTTCGGCATCTTCACTGTTTGGTGATTCCGAATAAACTGCCTCTTTACGGAGGTCGAAACCGTGCGAGATGGAGGGGTTTCCTATTGAAATCATAAAAACTACAGAGGAAAGAAAGAAAGGAAATAAGCAAACCAGGGAGAAAAATAGAGATGGGGTGAACATCACATCTATAAGTTCAACAACCGAGTGGCCGTTCGGATAGAACCTACACCAATTCACGTGTAATGCTGATCCGATACTTTTTATGACGCTCGACCTCGAGGCATGAAGAAAAAAGGACAGAAACAAAGAGCGGCAGAGAGGAAGAAGGATGGACTGAAGGAACGAACGAAGGAAGGAAAGCGGAACTAAGAAAGAAGGAAGTAGGAAACAGAGAAAGCAAGAACGGAAGGAACAGAGAAAGGAAACAAGTAGCAGCAAAAAAAAGTGGAAGAACGAGAAAATAAAATGCTTAGTGGGGAAGCTGGGATCACGACCTATTACTATGCGGAGTCAATGCTTTCAATCTTGGATTTGACTACAAAATATACGCACATTATAAATAAAATGATTTCTAGAACTAATAGAATTTTATCATCACTCTCGGAGAGAACGAGCTGATTTGTTATATCCGGTTCACTAAAAACCTCATTTCCGAGATAAGACAAATGGTGCAGCGAATAATACGATTTTTTGTTCCTCGATCAACAACCTTTGCATCTATATTTTAAATGCAAAACTTCTGCGAAAAAAACTCATTTATATTGTCTGTTGCAAATTGCAACCATAATCAATATAATGATATATTTCACGAGATTCGAATGTTTGATGCAGTCCTTTGCGTAATAATTAACTAATGCATTAACTACGTAACTGCGATGTGTTAACGAACTGTGAAATGATAAAACAAAACATTTATCTTGCGTTTATATTCGAAGTGCAAAACTTCAGTGAATTAAATTCATTCTTATTTTCTTTTACACACAGTAGTTATTTTGTCTTTTTAAATATGCTCTCTTAGAATTTACCCTTCCTATATGCTGGCATTGTGATTGAAATTAAAGAATTGTCCTATAGCATGAAATTCGAGCGATACGCGAGACTGCCGCGCCAAGATTACTGGAGAGGAGTACCGGGCGACTCAACGTTTAATACATTATGGTATATGGAAACTTTGACGGCTTTTTTCTAGGAGAAGGGTTGATTTCCGGCACATGGTTCCTTTCAGACTTTTTATCCCCTCGATGAGCACTATACGATAAGCCAATAAAAAAGTTTGACCTTGAAATTAGGGGTCAAGGTCAATTTTGCGGTCGCTTTCTTTGACAGATCTCCACCGATCCAGAGGTGTAGAATCACCCCATATAGGTCGTGACATTTAATTTTTTTACACCCTGTACATCATCCCTTGGGTGCTCGTTTTATTCTGTCCGACCCAAAGAATATCAGTCTGGTCCCTATTTGGACAAACTATTGGTAGAAATGTTTATATTACGAATAAATCAATGTAGGTGAATCCGATCCGCCATTTTCTTGACCGTTGACAGACAGCAATTTCAATATTTTATAAGTTTTTGACGATTTAGATAATATAAGGACCAGACAAATATTCTTTAGAACCTCCTGAACACGTCCCTCAAATTTTTTTACATTCTATTTAGAAATAAAGACGTAATTTGAAAACTCGCGTCTAGGGATTTTTATTAAGGTGATGTGAGCGTCGAAAACTTTACCGACAGACCCTAGAAAAATCCCTAGACGCGAGTTTTCGAATTACGTCGTCATTTCTAAACAGAATGCAGAACAATTTGAGGGACGTGTTCAGAAGACCCTAAAGAATGGCGCTCTGGTCCTTATTTTACCCAAATCGTCAAAAAGTTATAAAATATTGAAATTGGTGTCTGTCCACAATCGAAAAAATGGCGGATCGGACTCACCTGCATTAATTTATTCGTAATATAAACATTTTTGCGAAACGAATGTCCAAATAGAGACCAGAGCGCCATTCTTTGGGTCAGATAGAGCAAAACGAGCACTCAGGGGATGGTGTACAAGCTTTCGTTTAGACAAAAAGTGAAAACTACGATTTCGTTGATTTTTCACTCGCGAAAGACGTCAAAAAGGTAAAACAAACCACAAATTTAGCTCCTCGTTTTTTCTGTAGGGCGCAGTTTGTTCGTTTTCTGTGCTCGACGGCGCGCTCATTCGCAGCTAGTATATGTGAATATGTGTGCGTCGACCGAACCGTCGCACGTCGCCGACGATACAATGTATCGTAGAGAATGGGAAGGTCGAGTCTTAAAGTGGCGATGAACTCTGACACGTACATTTTTTTTCACGCATCGTTCTATCGACTAGGATAGCGATTTTCAACCCATGTCTCACAAGACGTACTATTATTATTTTTTGTTGCTATTATTATTCTTTTTTTTAGTGAAACTGAAGAACAAATACGTCCTTCCCGATTTCGATGATTTTTTGAGATGTTATAAAAATTGATATTCTGAACAATTTGGTGAAATACTGATTACTTATGAAAAGCACCCCGAAAACAAATCTGTTGCCAAAGTTATTAAAATTTGTTTAGACAGATAAGTTAGTATGTTTTTTCAGCATAGAATATGATATTATGCTGGACTCTCCTGATTTTGCGTTACGCCCAAATATTGGATGAATAGGTAACGAAAATGTGATGCTGGAAGAACAACACGGCTGGAGCGAGTTCTTCAATGCTGGCGTACGTAGAAAAGGACAAATAGCAAAAGAAAAAGAGGTCCGAGAATTAAAGGGCCTGAAAAAAAACATTTGAGTGAAACAATATTAATTCAGCAATAACTTTTTTATTTTTCATCTTTGCTAAATGAAACTTTTACCAATGTAATTGTAAAGTTCTTCTGATTAAAATAAGACCAAACACCATATAATTTGCATTATTTTTACTTATTTAGATATAAATAAGTAAATAAATAATTATAATTCAAATTATGTCATGTTTGATCTTGTTTTAATCAGAAAAATCTCATAAATACGTTAGTAACATTGTCATTAAAAAAAATTCAAAAATAAAAAGGTTCTAATATTAAATTTTGATTGTGTTAGTACAGTAATGCTTCGAAATAAGCAAGTGGCTCGGGACCGAACAGTTGCTTATTTCGAAGCAGGTAGCTATTCGGCTTGACTTTGTTCTTGAAACGGGACGATAGAAAACGCGAGAAACGAGTGAGAGATCCGAGGTAGCGGCAAATCATAAAGTGATCGGCCGAGCAGCGATGTTATTTTTTGGACAAGGATAGAATATAACATGCCCTCTCATTCTCGCACTATGCTTTATTTCGAAGCAAATATACCAGACTGAGAAAGCATTATATATATTCCATCCTTCTTCTACTAATCGATGTCACTACTCAGTCGAGTGTGAAATTTATTACCCTAAACATCGGCTTCGCGCTTTCATGGACCTCTCACTCGTTTCTCGTACCTCTCACTTTGCGGGCGACTTCAAACAAAGAAGAGGGGATAGCGACTTGCTTATTTCGAAGCAGAGACCACTTGCTTATTTCGAAGCATTACTGTATTGTCTCACACGTACACGGGTATTTAAACTTGCTTTTTTCCCTGTACGCTGCTTCGATTCTCGGCTGTCACCACATCAAAGGCAAGCCGAACTCGCTCGAGAAACTGTGGTTTCTCGACGACACGCAAAAATTGGTCTGATTCATCGTACATGATACATATAGCTATCGTAGTGTCATCCGTGTGTCATTTAGGTGTATGCGAAGAGTGATGTAGAATAACATGCCGTTGGATGCAATAACTGAGGTACAGTAAAACCTGGATAAATTCAACCAAGATTGGGACCCAGTGGTTGCGTTTACCTAAGCACGGTATCGAAGCTCGGATGACACGCGACGACCAGCCAAGCGTGAACGTAGAAAGGGACAGACAGTGGTGGAGAGAGAGAGGTCCGAAATCAAAGGAGAGAGCCGAAACGTATCGGTGTGACTAATACTAATTGAATCAAAAAACTTTTTTATTTTTGACTTTTTTGGAGTGAAACTTTTACTAGCGCATTGATGAAATTTTTGTGAGTAAAGTGGTACCAAACACGATATAGTTTCAATTATAATTACTTACTAAAATGGATGTTATAAGTTGGCGAAAAGCAAGAGAAATCAAAATCCAAACCAGTCGCGGTGTCGGCTTTGGTTTCAAAGGTTTCATTTATCCTAGCGAGGAGTCGATTCTGGGCATTTAATGTTTCATTTATTCAAGCGAGGAGTCAATTCTGGGCATTTAATGTTTCATTTATTCAAGCGAGGAGTCGATTCCAGGCATTTAATGTTTCATTTATTCAAGCAAGGAGTCGATTCTGGGCATTTAATGTTTCATTTATTCAAGCAAGGAGTCGATTCTGGGCATTTAATGTTTCATTTATCCAAGCGAGGTGTCGATTCTGAGTCCGTACACATGTTTTGTATTCAGCCGACATCATGTATATTCAGTCGTGGTCTCAATTCTATATTGTTTATTCTATTACTATTGTTTATAAATATAATTCAACCTATATCGAGTTTGGTATCATTTTAATCAGAAAAATCTCACAAATGCATTAGTAACAGTTTCATTGAGAAAAAGTTAAAAATAAAAAAGTTTTATCGTTGAATTAGTATTAGTCACAAGGATATTACGGTCGGATCATATTACACGGTTTCCTCGTTGAGCGGCTCGGTTCGCCTAGGGGGATCCCCCCAAGTGGAGGGGATAGCGATGTTTCATTTATCCAAGCATTCTTTCGTTGAATTTATCCAGGTTTTACTCTAGAGCGCGCGTTAGTAGAAAGAGACAGCAACTGCGCCGAAGAGAGAGATAGCGATTCACGCGAAGTCACGTACGGACAGGTCAAAGTCCAAAAACTTCCGGTAGTAAAAGTACGAAGAAGAAAACTGCTACGTCAGCAGATCCCAGGCATAAATACAGGCGTGCCGAGCAGTGCAAGCTCACTTCGATTCCGATCGTAGTCCGACACGAATCTATGATACGATTATCACATAGAATCCCGTAGCTAGATTCTTTTGTCGGCAAAGCGGCGAAGGTTCGCAGTGGTTCTCTCACGTGTCTGGTTTGCAATCAAGCTTAACGAGCGAGCGAAAGCGGAAGCTCCTTGGATGCGACCTATTAGTACACTGGCTCTAGAGCAGGCATGGGCACGAAACCGGCTCAAAGAGCGCGTCTGACAGCGATGTTGTATACCAAGTCAATTCACTATCATACTTAAATAGTCCGGCTTCCTCACCATCTTATCTTATTTCAATAGCCCGGTTTTCTCATCGTATTTTAGCAACAAACATCCCAAATCTTTTCTTCTAATGACTCAACCGAACTACTCAGCTCCGAACCTTGACCCCCTGACTCCTGACCTCATCCCTTACCGACCACTAGACACAAAGTAACTCCCACTTTCCTATTTTTCCAATTCTATAAAATACCCGACACGTTTTCCTCCGCGCTCAGATTTTGCCGAACAGTTTTAGAAGTAGAGTCTACGCTCGACCGACGAATATTGTATCCAATAAAACTTCATCTGTATTTCATTTGTTTATTTAAATAAACTACCTGTGTGAAATACAACATAATTTTTGGCGACGAGGATGGGATGTCCAGCACTCTACATACAGTGAACAAAAGTGGAATTAGCAACTCCATCCTGTAAACCGAGTGGCAGCATTCAAGTTGCTGAGAACTTGGACATCGAACGAAACGAAGTACAAAGGATACAGCATACCGGAAGGAAATCCTGCAACCTGGTTGAAAATACTGGACCTAGCAACGCCAGCACCAATTGCGGACAAAAAACTTTCCATAGTAAGTACTGCTCGATAAATATTCGCCGGTGTAGACAATTCTTTTCCTTCTATTCTTCCAAACTCTCCTAAATCATACGTAATCATGCTTAACGTTGATCAGAGGCCACAAATCACGTACGAACTCTCATTTTTAGTTAAGTTAATTCCGGAAAAATTTGACGGTGATCGATATCAAATCCGTAGTTTTGTAAAGCAAGTTGACGGAGTGTTTGAACTAGCCACTGAAGCTCAAAAAGCTGCTCTATTACTTTATGTGAAAAGTCGTATTTCCGGTAAAGCACGGGAACAAATAGACATTCATTGCAATCTCACGACTTGGGAAGGAGTTTCTGAGCTTCTTTTAAATCTTTATCAAGATAAAAAATCTCTTGATCAGTTGTTCGAGGAACTAAATTCTATGGTTCAAAAGCCAAATGAAAACGTTTCGCAATTTTTTCAAAGAATTGAAGATCTTTCATCTCGAATTCTCGCAGCCGTTCACACGTCAGAACAAAACGAAAATCTTTTACCTGGCAGTATCGCAATGATAACTAAGATGACCCTCAACCGATTCATTTACCATACTCATCCACAAATCTCACAAATGCTTCGGTACAGAGAGTTTCAAACAATTAATCAAGCCTTTACAGCCGCTACAGCGGAAGAAAGGGCTCTTCGAATTCGTTATGGTAATTTTCCACAGTGCACTTATTGTAACAGAACAAATCACGCAAGTGAAAATTGTTATCAAAAGAACTCTAAACCAAATCTTTCAACATCTCGATACTCTAAACCAGTCCATTTTACTCAACAAAATTCATCCTTCAGACAAAACAATCCCCAAAATTATTATAAAAATCCAAATCAGTTGCAAAGCTTTAATCGACCTAATAACTCATTGTCAACTCAAAATTCGCACAATTCAACTAATTATTATAAAAATCCAAATCAGTCGCAAAACTTTAATCGACCTAATAATTCATTGTCAACTCAAAATTCGCACAGTTCAATTAACCAAACTCAATGTCGATATTGTAAAAATATGGGCCATTCTATTGATGAATGTATTAAAAGATTTGCTGCAAACGTTCGACGCAATAAAAATAACGGGAATAGATCAAACCTTCAAAATACGCAACACTCAAGCGTTCATCTAAGTAATCAGAATTATCAACCTCCTACACAAAACTCTAATCCTCCTGAGCATGCGCTAATGAATAACGAAGAATCTAACATTTCGACACTCTTTAATTCATTCACTTTTCATAACGTTTACATAAATAATAACGAGTTAACATTCGTCTTATTCGAATCTCCATCATCAATCTCCCCCGATGGAATCCTAAAATTTTTAGTCGATACTGGAGCGTCTGTCTCCTTAGTTAAAAAATCGAGTCTCGGTAATTATAAAATTACTAACTCTGCACCGATCATGCTTAACGGTATTAATGTCAATGCGCCAATCGCAACTCTCGGAGAAACGGAACTAAATTTAGCAGTCCGTAAATATTCATTTAATTGCAAATTTCAAGTTCTCGATTCCAATACGGGTATTCCTTTCGATGGTCTCTTAGGGCAAGACTTTTTCGACGCGCAAAATTGCAAAATCGATTTTCAAAAATCATCTATTTTAATCAAGTCGATTCCGTTTTCAATTCCTCTACAACGTAATACAACTCAACAATCAGACACGTCTTTAATATCAATCAGTCCACGAACTGAAATGGTGGCCAAAGTATCGATCGAAAATCCTCTTAATCTAAAGGAAGGAATAATCTTAAACCAAACGCTGGATCAAAAGGAATCATTAATTATCCCCAGCACGCTAGTAAAAGTAATAAACAAAAATGAAGCCTTAATCACAATTATTAATCGATCTATGGAAAAGAAAACATTCGCTAAACCTAAACTACCACTCCTACGTCTTTCTGAACAAGCTCGTATCTTTTATTCTTCTGATAAACCAGTAGATATGAACGAAAGACTTAAATTATTAAATGAAAATTTACGTACTAATCATCTAAACCCTGAAGAGAAAGATTCAATAATTAAATTATGTCATGAATTCGAAGACATTTTCCATCTCCCTCATGACTCATTAACTACAACCTCTGCAGCTATAAAAAAAATTCCACTAACAGACAATACTCCTGTTCAAGTGAAATCCTATAGGTATCCCGAGGTACATAAAAATGAAGTATCAAAACAAATCGAAAAAATGCTTACACAGGGAATCATTAAACCTTCCACAAGCCCGTGGTCAAGCCCACTTTGGGTCGTACCCAAGAAAACGGACGCTTCTGGTCAACAAAAGTGGCGAATTGTCATTGACTATAGAAAGCTCAATGAAAAAACTATCGGTGACGCCTACCCTCTTCCTTATATAGAAGATATCTTAGATCAACTGGGGCATGCTCAGTATTTTACCACACTAGATTTAGCAAGTGGCTTTCACCAGATTCCCATGCACCCAGACGATGCTCCGAAAACCGCTTTTTCGACTCCAGAAGGTCATTTTGAATATACACGTATGCCCTTCGGTCTTAAAAATGCTCCCTCCGTTTTTCAACGAATGATGAACAACATTTTGACTGGACTTAGCTTCAGACAATGCTTTGTCTATCTGGATGATGTAGTAATTTACGGTTCCAGCCTCTCTGATCATAATACAAAATTACGTAACGTCTTTAACAGATTCCGTGAATATAATCTTAAACTCCAACCAGATAAGTGCGAATTTTTACGCGAATCCTGTCAATATCTCGGACACATAATCACTAAAGACGGAGTCAGACCAAACCCTCAGAAAATTGAATGTATACAAAAAATGGACCCTCCAAAAACTTTAAAACAAATAAAAACATTCCTCGGTATGGCAGGGTACTATCGAAAATTTATTCCAAATTTTTCAACAATCGCGAAACCAATTACATTGCTATTAAAAAACGACACCAAATTTATTTGGTCCCAGGAACAGCAACACGCTTTCGAAACGTTAAAATCAATCTTAACAACTGAACCCTTATTACAGTATCCCGATTTTACTCAACCTTTTGTCGTCACTTGCGATGCCTCCAACGTAGGCATCGGCGGCGTTCTCTCTCAAATAAAAAAATAATAAGGATTTACCTATAGCTTATTATTCAAGAACTCTAAATAGCTCTGAGCAAAATTATTCCACAACAGAGAAGGAGTTACTAGCTATCATAAATACAATCGAACACTTTCGACCGTATCTTTATGGCAGGGAATTTACAATTTATTCAGATCACAGGCCTCTCCAATGGCTTTTTAACTGCAAAAATCCTTCTTCGAAACTTCTCCGATGGCGCTTGCGCCTTAACGAATACAAGTACGTAATAAAATACAAACCCGGAAGAGTGAATTCTAACGCAGACGGTTTATCGCGATTACATCCTGATCCAAACAAAATCACTCAATCCACATTTCATGTACATAAAGCCAGTCAAACGTACCAAGATTTTACGAAATTCCATTACACCAATATGCAAGTAATTGAATTTCCAAAAGAGGAAACACCCCTCCCGAAACTAAAAGGTACAATAGTACTCTTATGGTCTGAAGATTTAGATAAAGAAAATCAATATTCAGATTACGTAACGGAAAATTTCGATACAACATCACTAACATCAAGCCCTAATGGATTTTATAAATTGCAAAATGACAAACAAACTTTACTAATTCTATTTCCTAAAAATTTACATCATGACAAAATCGATTATCGTAATTTATTCCAAAGTTTTATGACGCTTCGAGATATAATCAAAGCAAAAGATTTTATTTTAGTTCCACCAAAAAAACAAGGCGGTATTAAACCTGAAATTTTTAATGAAATGGTTAAATTCATTTTTTCTTCCAACAATATTAAATTTTTGAATACAAAAAAAATTGTCCCCAAAGACCGTGATGAAATTCGAATCATCCTTAAAGAATGCCACGACAGTAAACTATCTGGACATTGTGGTTTTAATCGTACCTATTCTAGAGTCAAAGAAAGATATCACTGGTCTACAATGAAAAGTGACATTAGAAGTTACATTAAGACATGTCACTCTTGTCAACTAAATAAAACAAATTTTAGACCTACTAAACAACCCATGGAAATCACTACTACAACAGAAAAACCTTTTCAAAAATTAGCTATCGACGTAGTAGGACCTCTCCCTTTGACTGAACTAGGCAATCGATTCATCATTACAGCTCAAGACGACTTGACAAAGTACTCATTTGCATTTGCAGTTCCGAATCATGAAGCACAAACAATCGTTGAAAAATTACTCTTTATCTTCATTTACTTTGGTATCCCTCAAACATTCTTGACCGATCAAGGTTCAGAGTTTATGTCAGATCTTGTCAAAGAGATGAGTAACCTCTTTAAGACAAAGCATATCTCAACCACACCTTATCATCCTCAAACGAATGGAGCTCTCGAGAGATCTCATCTTACTCTAAAGGATTATCTAAAACATTACATAAACCAGAAACAAACAGACTGGGATACTTACGTTACTTTTGCGATGTTTAGCTATAATACAGCAGTACACAAATCTACCCGTTACACGCCATACGAACTCCTTTTTGGACGGAAGGCTTATTTGCCTTCAGCTATAACGCAAAATCCAGAATTTCACTATACTTACGATGATTATATTCGATCACTCAAATTTAAACTAAATACATCCTTTCAAATGGCACGTGAAAATCTTATTGATTCAAAACTACGTAGTAAAGAATACCATGATAAGAAAATCAATCCAATTAAATTTAAAGTTAACGACCTCGTTACAATCGAAAATAAACAAATTTCACCAGGATTATCTAAGAAGCTTGCAAGCAACGCTAAAGGACCCTATAAGATTATTAGAACCTTTCCTAATCAAACTGTTGAAATCCAAATTGGCCGAAAATTGGTTACATATCATACTAACTTACTCAAACCGTATTTTTCAGATGAATCAGACAATTCTAATCCTCCTTCTACTTCCGCTCCTAGCCAGCAGTCATTTTTTCTCTCACCATCCTTTCGAGAAATCAAGCGGAATCTTTTATAACAAAAAAGGAACAGTACTAATTGCGAATTCGAAACTTACATTGCTTTCATATATGAATAAAACTCACCTAAATAACGCAATTATGATTATCGACAACTATCTTGTTAAAACCAAAGCTATTTGTAATTTGACATTGCAAGATCCAACTCGAAAAGGTCATACTAGTTTTCATTGTGAACGCACTATTCAATTAATCGAAGCAGAAGTATTAGAAATCAATTCGAAACGTGAAATCCTTCAACAACTAACTGAGAAATTGGTTATCAGGAAAAGACGTGGCCTTCTAAATGGCATGTCATATTTGTTAAAATGGGCTTTTGGCACTCCCGACGCTGATGATGCCCAATTCTATGAAGACAGCATCAAAACATTAATAAATAATAACAGGCAAACACAAACTTTGCTTAAGTCACAAGTCCAAGTGATTACTAACACTATTAAAAACTTCAACAGCTCCTTGTATCTTCTTCAGAATCAAGAGAAAGCAATGAATGAAAATATAGAAATAATCAATTCATTTACGGCTCAAACTAATTCATATATTTCACGTTTACAAATGGAATCTACGGTAAACCAACTGGTTACCACTTTAAATATGCTAGTAAGTCAAATTAATCGAGAATTCTCAAAATATATAGAAGCTATTAATCTGGCTGAACATAATATCGTTTCACCATTCATTATCACTCCTAAGATCTTATTTGAAGAATTAAAAAATTATAAAAATGAACATGAGTTAATTATGAAACCAAATTTGGAAAATATACATGTTTTTTATAAATTTATTCAACTTCATGTAATTTCCACAAACGATAACATAATATTTGCACTTCAAATTCCTTTAGTCGTACGAACGAAATTTGATCTCTTTGAACTTATTCCTCTTCCAATCCAGCACAACGATTCAAAATTTTCATCTTATATTATCCCTCAGAATCGTTATCTCCTTTTATCTCAAACTAAATCACAATTTACCTTCCTTAATGAATTGTCTAACTGTAACGAATATCGAGACGAGGAGTACGTCTGCTATCACCTGCACACTACAGCTTCAACAAGTCAAGCAATCTGTGAAATTGAGCTGCTGTCTCCTCACATAAAGAAAATTCCGTCTACCTGTACGACGAAAACAATCAAGGCAACCATAGAAACCTGGAATTACATTGCAAAAAACCAATGGATCTACGTCCTCCATGAGCCAACTACTCTAACCGTCATGTGCGAAGAAGGTCAAAATCACATGGAAGATGTGATTCTTCAGAGAAGTGGAATCATTCACCTTCAACCTCGCTGCAAGGGATATACTAGTCTCTTTGTGATTGAAGCCACCCACGAAATTAGTAAAAATGCAACCTACTATGTTCCACGCATGAACATTCTGGATGATGACTGTTGCATTCTGACACCTCATCTAGAGGCAATCGAATCGGTTACCTTAAAGCCGATACACCTTACGAACATCGATCTCACAGAACTCAAATACGCCAACAAGAAATTAGGTGAATTTGATGAGATCATTACTAAGCAAATAAATCAGCCATTCATAGTAACACATACTAGGTGGTACACTGTTGCCCTTGGAACAATTGTAGCGCTTCTGGTACTATTTGTGCTACTAAAGTGCTGTAAAAATTTCGGATGTCTCCGCTGGTTACAACGACTATGCTGTTCGACCACAGATCCAATTCGTGGAGAGATCAACCCACCATTAATCAAGAACTTTGTCAACTGCATCTTCGATTCATCATCATCATCATCTTCAAGACAATCTACAACGCCGAACAACGAGATAGTCACTTATCAACCAAGAAGGGATCGAGCCGTGGTCATCAACCCAATACCTGAGTTGTCGGAAGACGAAGAAACAACCCCTGTAGTTCGAGTCCAGTCACGACAAAGAACGCGAAGAAGTACCACTCCCCTCTAAAAACACATGTATCATTGATGTCCCTGTATACTTTTTATTATTTTATATTATTTTACTCATAATTCCTATACTCTAAAACAATCATTTAATCTTATAAAAAAAAAAAAAAAAAAAAAAAAAAAAAAAAAAAAATGAAAGGGAAAGAAAAGAAAGATAGATATATATATTTTATACATATCCGATATATGTAACGCAATCATTTACATTCTATTTATAATTAGACTATTTAAATTATTTTATAGATATTTAATACTATTCATAATCGATGTTCCTACACTATTTTATATTATCTTTAATGCAAAATCTATGTAATTCAACTACTCGTAATTACGTTAGTAATTTTTATGGCGGAAGGTGTTACAAACCAACATAATTTTTGTCAATTTTTTTTTTATTTTTTTATTTTCTTTTTATATATATAACATATGTGATCATGCTAAAACCTAATCGTTAACCTCCCGTTAACAATCTTATGGCGGAAGGTGTTGTATACCAAGTCAATTCACTATCATACTTAAATAGTCCGGCTTCCTCACCATCTTATCTTATTTCAATAGCCCGGTTTTCTCATCGTATTTTAGCAACAAACATCCCAAATCTTTTCTTCTAATGACTCAACCGAACTACTCAGCTCCGAACCTTGACCCCCTGACTCCTGACCTCATCCCTTACCGACCACTAGACACAAAGTAACTCCCACTTTCCTATTTTTCCAATTCTATAAAATACCCGACACGTTTTCCTCCGCGCTCAGATTTTGCCGAACAGTTTTAGAAGTAGAGTCTACGCTCGACCGACGAATATTGTATCCAATAAAACTTCATCTGTATTTCATTTGTTTATTTAAATAAACTACCTGTGTGAAATACAACAGCGACACTGTTTGGGAGCGCCCGTCACTCTACTGATTCGCTCTTTCGAGGTGGAGGGGCAGCATTGTAGGGGAAATCGAGCTGCGGCGGTCGAGGTAATACGAATGTGTGGCGTTCGACAGAGGACGTCACACATGCATGCTTCGACTGCGTAACCTCGAGATACTACGAAGTGGGGATATTTCTCCGCCGTTCGGTTCGGTTCACGCTCTGCTTTGAGCTTGTTACGACCAGCCGCCTAAACGTACGTTAATCGAATTCTTCCCACGATCGGACAAACATCGTGTTACGGCCACCCGCCTAAACGATCGATATTCGAACAACCGAACTCCTCACGACCGGACACCTAAACATCATATTACGACCACCTACTTAAGTATTCGATAAGACGCGTTCTCACAGACATCCCACCTTGTCAATCATCGGCCCCTTCTCCACCACCAACGACATTATAAAAGACCTTACCGGACATAAGCAGAGTCAGTCGGGATCATATTATAAAAATAAAGTGCTAAACCTTTAAAAGTGCTATTCATTTAAAAACCTGTGAACTTTCTACGTGACACATGCAACGGCGTGCTGCGGCTCGGACAACATTTTTTCGTTTCTTGATAGAAACGGTTCGGCAATAGGATACTACAAGCGAGGAGTTTCGTTTTGATGCGTGCTGTTCCAAAGGAACGAAGGCAACGGACCCATTCGAAAAATTTGTCGATTCTTTGCCGTTGCATCGAAGGAAAGGTTCATGAGTTTGCACTTGACATAGCGTTTCGTGCCGTCACTGGGGTTTCAATTTATTTGAAATCTTGCGGTATTATTGGATTCATTTCAAAATCGATGAAATTATTTATGAACTTAATCTAATTTAATTTAGACAAATTTTATCGTCTAAATATATTTAAACAGATTAATTATCTTCGGTGATACGCTGTACATAAAGGAGCAATGTTAATAATCACCTGTGTGATTATTGAAAAAGGACAATGTTAATTTTCCAGAGATTTTTCCGTTGCCGAGTATCGAAAGTTCTATTGGGCTGTGATACGGAGGTGAAGGAACGGGCCGATCCGAAAATTGTCGGTTTCTTGCCGTTCAAAGAAGAGGTTCGGAGACCACTTGAAACGTAAAAACAACATACCCAGGCGAAAGCTCGAAATGCTATGTCAAGTGGAAACATGACACTTGAGGCACGAGATAATATGATCTGGGATCGGATATATCAGTGAGATAATACTAATGTAACGACTGAACTTTGTTATTTTTCATTTTTTTCTTATAAAACTTTTACCAAGATATTTGTAACGTTTTTCTGATTAAAATGATACCAAATACGATGTGGTTTGGACAATTTTTACTTATAATAGTGTTTGCTATTTCTGAATTGTGTCTTCTAAACAAAAAAAAGAACCAAAAATAACAAAAAGTACAATTATTGGTAGTTTCTATGCGCGCGAATACGCATTTGTTATTCGTTTGTAACTTTTTAAAACTTCAGAATATTAAAATTACATCATGCAAGTTAAAGGAGAAACAGCACGCAGCAAACCGAAACTCCTCGCCTATAGGAGTTTCTTTCAAGAAACGAAGAAATATTGTCCGAGCCGTAGCACGCCGTGGCATGCAACGAGGCAACGTCTGCCTATTCAAAAGGTTCGGAACGGTGATACGATACGGGCGTTTGATACAGGTGGATACTCGGCTTAACACATTCACACCGCGTCGTCAGCACCTCGCCCATCGGCTCATCGTCGCGGCGTGAATGTGTTAGTGCGCCAACTTCACTGCGACAACTTCGATGGAACTCAGTGTAAATACATACCCTTGATTATACATTTGTAACATGTGATCTAATGATATGAATTAAAAATATTATAGTTCTTCAAGAGTTTATTTGATAAATTATGGAGAGGTTTTTGAATATTGATTGGTAAGTATAAAGTATCATATTGGGTTAACCTAACTCATATAGTAATTATGTTTTAATAACTTAAAATTATATGAAACATTCCTAGGAAATGGACCGTTCACCGATTTTGATGTGTTATACATCATTAAATTCGTGTTTTTGAGTACATTATTGAGGTGTTTGTATTTTTTTGCGGAAATTCGTGTGTTCTCTTGAAATTTGCTGAGAAGTTTCGAAAAAAATGTATGATTAAGTATGTTTTCGATACATTTATGAATGGAAACAAATGATTGTCGGTACATTCAGTCCACATTATTTGAATTCTATTTTTCAAATTCCTGCAGGATAAGGTTTAAAAAAAAAATTAATTGTCCATAATGTGGCAATGCAATGGGAATGAAGAATGAAAAGTGGATATGCATGTAGACTGCAAATGTAGTTATACAAATGTAGACTGACTATTACAGGATATATGTAGAAATCTTAATGAGAACAAAGGTTTCTGATGTCAGAAGTTGAATAAAATAAGGCAGAACCCATTACGTAGAAAGACAATGAGTATTTGGTAGAAGTAAAGGAAAAAGTATGAAGATATTTTTGATACCTGTTGAAAACATAGATACTAAAACCATAATTATTGTTATAAATGAGTGGATTAAGCCAAGCACTGCTATAATATCCTACAGTTGGAAGGCCTATGATGCATCTGAAAAAGAAGATTTTTAAACATTTACAATTAAGGTACAAGCTTTATAATGTGAACATGCAGATATCTTTGATGCCTGTTGAAAGTAAAGTTACAGATATGTACTGAAATATTGCCGGCCGGCTATCGCCGTCCAGGATTAAATATAACCTAACCTATTGTCTTTTTAGACTTAAAGTATAAAATGTACATTATTTTTTATTGTTGTATTTCACACTAGGTTTGTAGATATAAGTACATATGTACCTCTGTAAAATTAATATAAGTGGGTCTGTACATACATATGTATGTACATACCTCTGTAAAATTAATATAGTCATATAAACTGTCATTTGTTTCTGTTCATAAATGTATCAAAAACATACTTAACCATACTTTTTTCTTGAAAGTTTACAGCAAATTTTATACAAAAAAACGAATTTCCGCAAACAATGACATAGAAATTAGTAATGTACTCAACAAGATGAATCTAAGGATATATAACATGTCATAATCGGTGAACGGTCCGTTTGCTAGGGATATACCGATTGAATAATATTTTCTTTTATAAACAAATAATCATTTATATACATGTGCATATATATATAAACATATATGTATATGTTCTTATTTTATGTTTTATTTGTTTTATATTATAATTTTGTAGGTTTATTAATATTATTTACAATTGTTAATATTACTGTGAAGCATATTATGTGTTGTTATTATTAACAATATGTTAATATTTTTTCAAGTTGAAAATTATAACATTTTATGTATTTGAATCAAAAATTTTTGTTTCCCTAAAACCAAGTGTAGCCCATTTAAATGATATTGTTAATATTAGGTTATATCATCATAGTAGTTTTTTATTTTAAAAAATATATCCTTAAATTATCGTATCAAATATATATGTGTGACATTTGTATTTAAAACTAAACTAGTATTAATATTTTTAACATTTGTATGAAATAAATATGAATTTTCTGATCACCAAAAAAATGTTATTTGTTTCGACAGGAAACCTCCATTGGAAGACATATTAGATAATACTTTCTTTAGTGCGGAAAGATTAGAAAAGGAAAGTGTTATGTATAGAATTATGAATGGAAATTTCATTGATCCATTTAAAGGTATTGAAGAAGACTATAACAATGTTGACATTAATTTAATAAAGAGTATAGATCCTGAACTAAATAAAGAGGATACAGATAATGAAATTACAACAAATGACACAAAAAAGGAAAGTCAATTACAACAAAAAAAAGATGTCAAACCTAATGTACCTGGTATAACTAAACCAATATTTAGGTTCCCTAAAAAATCAAAATTAAATGCAGCGCAACATGCAATGTGTTTAAGAGTTTTGTTGAGATTTTCAGAAGCTGATAAGCCAAAGTTAACTCCAATAGAAAGAGAAGAATTACAAACTTATTTAGTAAGTGAAGCATTGTATTATTAAAGAGTATTAGAACAATTTTTTGGGTATAATAAAAAATACTGGATGTATGTAATCTTATATTATTGTGTTTTTAAATAGAATTTACAACATATAATATCTCAAGAACAAGATGAGTTTATAGAATTTGCCAAGAGCAAGTGGCATGAAAGGTCATTTAAAATTACATGTGAAGATTATGTAAATTTACGTTGGAAATCAAAATTACGATATATTTATAAATTACCTAGATATTATAGTGAAGTTACAAATGTTCCCTTTATAGCAAATAAAAATATTGAAGTGAAATTTATTTCTCTCTGTTTACAAATGGTAAATAATGGTAAAATCAAATAAGTGCTTCTGATTAAATTAATCAAATGTAATTGGTAAATAATATACAAGTAAATATTATTATATATTAACTACATAAAATTTTATTATTATACATAGGGTGAGTTCCCAAAAATAATACTACCATCTTCTATGAAACCATACAAGTTGTGTGTTACTTCTCAACAATTAAGAAAGAGATTTCCTCCTGAGAAAAACCTTTGCAGTGAATCATCAGTTCCTTTTAAACTACCAGTAAGTGAAGATCCAAATTGTCAAGAATTGACTGGCAATAATAATGTAGATTTAGTAATTTCATCCAGTGGTCTTAATTGTTTGGTAAATAACATTGACCCAAGTTATTCAAATTCCTGGATTTTACCTCTAGTTATGAAAAGGCATAATGATAAAAATACTATCTATATAGACAAGCCACCACCACCAATTGCAAGTAATGTTCCAGATAAAAATAATTGGGTATATAAGTATATCCTTAGATATTTTCTTATTGATGCAAAACATCAAACTACAGAAAGGTAAGATAAATACAAATAATTTTTATACATATTTCTTGTACATTTTATTATTTTATTTAATAATGATATTGTAATCAACACTTGTATAATGTTAGTATTGAAGGATATGACAACAATGTATTTAATAATATTAATTGTGAAGAGCTACTAAAATTTGAAGAATATGAAAATAATTTAACGCAAATTTATAGTACATTATGTTCAAGGGTAGTAGAGAAAGATAATAATATTAAAGATGCTTCAAAAGAACCAGAATATAAAAACGACATAGATTCCTTGAAAAATATGTCGGATTGTAAAACACATTCAAGTACTACTGCACACTGTAATACTTCACATTTTATATCAAATAGTCAAGGTAAGAATAGTTTTGTTATCTTTATTGACATAAACCTTGATATTAAAATACAATTTTAGTAACTAACCATGATAAATAGTATTACATAGATAAAAAATTGAATGTAGTATTGAATGTGCTAAATATGAGATTATATTAAATTTTTTAAAAAACAAAAAAGAAAAGAGCGTTAAAAGTATGTAATGCAATTAAATCTGTAATTTATAGATACTCAAAATAAAACTTTTAAAACCAACTTAAAAGGTAATATATCTTATAAACTATTTACTATTGGACCACAATTATCGGAGCAAAATGGATTAATGAAAAATGTTGCCAAAGAATACAGAATGTTAGTCCGAACAAAAACAGATGGATTTGAGGTTTGAAGACACTACATAACATTTTAACGTTTATACTAAATTTTATAATCTAATAAATCTAATGGAAATTATTTATTCAATTGTATAGATCTTAGAAAATAAAGTACAGAGGTTGTTAATGTTAACACCTAAATTAGAATACCAAGCCGATCTTGGTGCTGAAGCTGTAACATTAGAAGAATCATTAAAACAATGGGTATCCCTCATTTTTAGACCTCATACATCTCTTGCACGAGGTAAGTAATTTTCATTTTTTATATCAATAGTATACATTAGATTTTATTTTGTTACAGTTCGAATATCAGCAAAAACATCAGAAATATTACAAGTCGAGCATCGTACAGCGATGTCTATAAACAATGAAATTAAACGACTGTATAATATTAAAGTTGACAACTCTTTAACAATTTTACATAATATAATTCAATACCTCCAAAATTTGGCTCCGGGACGTTATATCATGAGGCATACAGTAAGAAATGGGGCATTTGCTACTATTTATAAAGAAGTAGAAAATACAGGGTAAATGAGTATATTATAAAATACAATTTTTTATGTTTCTTTAGCTATACACGAATATTGATGTGAGTGTTAAGTATTTAATTTTTATTTATAGAAAGAATATCTTTGATTTGCATACAATGTATGGTGAAGAATTCTTTAATTTACCTAATACTGCCTGGATTCCATTGGATAAAACAATACCAACTCCAATGCATAAATTCTTTGAGAGAATGCCAGCTATGTTTTCCCCGTTAAATAATACAAATTTTACTAACAATAAGAAGACCTCTGAAGTAAAACAGACTAACACAAGTATACATAATCATAATTTTATGCACCATTGTAATATTGGAGGAAACTAATTTTATTAACATTTTTTTCAGGGGCAGTACGTAGAAGTTTAAGAAATAAACAGAAAAAAATTATGTTTCATGATGATGTTCAATAGCTAATTTACATGTAAACACAAAATATACTTTCAAGATTATTAATTTAAAAATAATTTATATAAAAACACTTATTACTATGGTCAAAAACAGACACTAGATTAGCGGAAGTCCGATTCCTCGAACCAACATTTTGATTGAATTTAACTTACTACTGTAATATGTAAAATAGATATCCTATAAATTATGAATGATTTGTAATATTAAATGTACAAATAAGTAACGTTTGCAACATATTTATTACTTCTATAGATTTCACAACAATTTATATAAATATGAGATTTTAATTGTAAAATATATCAATATTTTTCATAAAAAAAAATTATAACTGCGATTTAATAAACATTTCATCAAAAATAAATTATAGTTCATCATAAAAAGCAAATTATACTATAACTGTGATGCTATATAAAGATTCAAAGATGGTACAAAAATATGCTTAAATGCACAACCTTTTATATCTCAATATTTAATTAATGAGATTCATATAAGCGCTTCAGGCAACTGTGTTATCTTATATTATTAAAGAGACACCTGTCATGTAATTCCATAGTAATGATTGTTAAATTTTTAATATATATTGTGAAACAATCCGTTTCACTTAAGTAGAAACAAGAGAGAGCAAAGCTTTCTTATAGTCGCCAGATGTGTCACCCTGAAATATTAATAATGGTAATATTAGAAATAATATGATACAGTATATTTTATTTTCTGCAATACAAAATTATTGTATATATTTTTTCATGAATATCTATATTTGTAGGATAAACATAAACTAATTTAATAAGGTATACACAAGTGTAATACGAATACGTACGACAATCCAACTTTCCAGTGATTTTCCATATCGTTCTTCAAACGCCTTTTTGATATCACCTAAATCGATTTCACTTCGAGAAACGATAATGCGAATTAATGTTCGATCTTTTGTACCAATTCCATGCATACTAGCATATAATCGTTCAGCAAAGAAACCAACTTTTGATTTCACGCATTTCACTGTTGCATAAAAGTATAATATTAAAAAGGCCAAACTTTACCATACTTTAACCCCCTCGCTCTTTTTGCACCTATCATATGCCGTTCTACTCGTCTTAATGTGCTGAATACGAATGATTGTCATTTTTGGCGGAAATCACAAGTTTTCAAGGTATTCACAAAAAACTTACTAGTGCACAGAATTTTACTCGGGAGTGTGCATCTGTGATGCAGTCGAAGCATAACTAAAAGTGACAGCTTCGCCACTTACATATACAGGGTGTCCTAAAAAGAATGTTAATCCCATAAAGGGGTACTTCTGAACAACTTTTTCCGGTTAAACTTCGTCTTAGGGGACCAAAAATTAACGGGTCCAAAAAATGTGTTCTTGTAGTTTTTGACCTGAAAAGTCCGAAAATGCAAGTTGAAAGTTTAGGAAACTAATAGTTTAAAAGATGCGAGTATATAAAAATGTGTGTATTTGGCGTACTTTGACAGGTCAGTACGATGCAATATTGATTCTTCCCCGCATCCAATCTTTTGTTTGGACTCTATTTGTTGGGTGTGAGTACCATCAATTTCTATGAAATCCGAGGGGATATTGTTTATAAAAAAAAAACTAACCTTAGGTATACCGGGTTTAGGCCACCACTTATACAGGGTGATTCTCTCGGCGCGCAACACAATAGCCGTCCCGCACAATGGAACCCTGCGGTTGTTGCGGGTAAAGAGACCCAGGGGCCATATCGCCGGACCCAAGACTGCTCTGTGTATGTTTATGGCTGAGACCAAGCAAGAAACGGAACAGCAGGGGTTCCATTGTGCGGCACGGCTATGTGTTACGCGCCGAGAGAATCATACTGTATAATTCTGTTTTACCGACGGCGACTCCACTCATTGGACAATATGACGTCGTACTGACCTGTCAAAGTACGCCAAGTACACACATTTTTATATACTCGCATCTTTTAAACTATTGGTTTCCTAAATTTTTAACTTGCATTTTCGGACTTTTCAGGTCAAAAACTACAAGATTTGATCATTTTTAACCAAAAATTTTTGGTTCCCTAAAACGAAGTTTAGCCCTTTTTCCTTTACCAAAATGTTGCTTAATGCTTCAATTTTGAATTAATGCTTCTACTTCAAGGGATTAACATTTTTTCTGTAACACCCTATATACAAACACTTACAAGACGGCCGGCAACCAATGCTTTTAAATGAATTCTGGTTAGGTTAAGCTAAATTTCACGAGATGGGGGTGCAGAGGGAAGGACGAAGTGATTACCGTTAAACATATCTTGTTATTTTTAAAATAAATAATTTCAAGAAAAGTACTGACCTATTCCAAGAAGACCCTTCTCAAGACTTCCTGAAAATTCTTTTTTAATAGCAACTTCAATGTCATGTCCAGATATTTTTTCATATTCAATAAACGTTTGTCTTAATTGTTGATAACTACGCGTTACTAAAATAGCATTAAATTGAGATTCATCTGTACCCCACTGCTTCTCACCTATGGATGAAGAAATTATGCATTTAACATCAAAATACTGTCCTCCGATCACAAGAAGTTACGTGGACGACACAGATGTAAAGGGGGGTACTACACAACATCGACTGATCACCTAGTTCGGGCTTCGGAATTGAGGGCACCGACTTTTCCTTTACATCCACTAACGGGGCTCGTGTAAAACTAGACCGTTGGCTTGGGAATTAATTGCATTTTTCAGCCAATTTTCAGAAGCTACGCTCCCTTTCTTCCGCAGTACGTCTTGGGCCCTGCAACGACTACATATAGTCCTCAATACATCTCAGGCGCGTGGCGCATTAGGATTACACTCGTGTCAACAAAGAGTGACCTCAAAAACACGCGTTTTTTCGCCCATTTTTTCCCACTCGAATTTCAAATCAAACTACGTGCCAATCAATTCCATATGATGGTACATTAATCTCAGAAAAAATTTAAGTTGAGCATAGGGGTAGTTTTGGAGATACGGGAGGTCAAAGCGACTAAATTCTCACTATTCTCAATATTGTCCAAGTACTGTATACACAGAAAAAGGTGAATACTTTTTTGATAACAGTGGAGATTTTACTAGAATTGGTCAAAATGGTTTTCTGACTCCTCCATTCCCGTTGTTTAGCATTTTAAGGGTTGTTTAATATTTAGATCCTTAAAACAGTTTTTATTGAATTTCTCGAAAACAAATGCAGATACGAAAGAATGTTTTAGACAAAAGTTGTTTGTCTTAAAATTCTGCATAAAAAAGGTCTTTTTCATTTTTTCGATAGGACTAATCCTTTACTCGAAAATCACAACTGAAAAGATATAGTTTCTGAAAATAACATTGCAATATAAGCAGCAATTTTTTTAATATATGTATTTGATGTAGAAAAAAAATCAGTTTTTCAACATAGCAACTAACAACTCTTTATTTTAATCCTTTATATTTTTATAGAATGAGATATGATTTCCGCAATTTCTGACTAAAGGATTAGTTCTATTTATTTTAGTATATAGTGACAAAAAATATAATAATTTAGAATTTTTTCTCTAGGAGGAAGGGGGCGTAGCTTCTGTAAATCGGCCAAAAAGAGTAGTTAATTCCTAAGTCCAAGGGTCTAATTTTACACGACCCTAATTAATAGGTGTGACTGCTTCGACCAATCATATATCACGATTGGAAGTACGTGTAAACTGAGGTGGGACACGGCCAATCACATTGCATTGTTCTCAGGGGACTTCTTGCGATTAGTGGACAATAGATATGTTACAGTGTAAGTGCATATTTGGAATAATGTGAGTATACATTTTTTGGCAAATGTATACTGTTATCGGGGAAACTTCCGAAAGGCCCCCCAGCCCGGGACAACCAAACTTCGGATTTATAGTAATTGAGGGACGAAAAATCGAATGAGACCATTTTCAGAACTGGCAAATAAACCGTTCTCCAGATATACAGGGTATTCTAAAAGTGTGGGACCTCCCTATTATCTCGATAAGAACGCATTTCCACGGAAAATAACTAAAACAAAAGTTGTAGGAGTCGTAAAGTATTATCCCAACAAAAACATCCTGTAAATAGGAGCCAAGTTCTTATGGCCGTAAAAAGTTGTGAGATCAAACTAAATACGGCCATGTTCGGTAGCTTAGAAATAACGCTTGCAATACTGAAAAAAGCTTTTGTGAAAATTAGGTTAAAAGAACGCTATTTAATTTTTGAAGAATTACATGGAGGGCTAAATTATTCAAACTTGGCCGTTACCTAACACCTTTTATGGCCATTGGTTTAAAAAGTAGCGGCCAAGTTTGAATAATTTAGCCCTCCATGTAACTCTTCAGAATTAAATAGCGTTCTTTTAACCTAATTTTCACAAAAGCTTTTTTCAGTATTGCAAGCGTTATTTCTAAGTTACCGAACTTGGCCGTATTTAGTTTGATCTCACAACTTTTTACGGCCATAAGAACTTGGCTCCTATTTACAAGATGTTTTTGTTGGGATTTTATCAATTTTTGTTGGGATTTCATGAATTATCAAGTAGGTATTACTCTTATCCCTGATTCATTAAATCCTAAATATTTTTTATCTTTATGGTGGATATTAAGTAAATTAATAAATGCATTTTTACAAAGAAAGTTAATTAAGAAAACGTTGACAGACCATTCTAAATAATGACATAATTAGTTTTTTTTTTTTTTTTTTTTTTTAACTATTTTTTCATCCCATTTTGGGCATAAAACCTGAAAATTGAATCTCCCATCTTCCCTTCAATTTTTTTTATTATATATGTTATGCTGCTATGTTCCATCCTACATACCTATTTCGTAATGCTTCAAAATTTCAAACTTTGATAATTATTCTTTTGAACGTACGTTATGGTGACCCTATGTACCAAATTTCAAGCATCTAACTCAATGGGAAGTACCCAGAAGGTTTTGATGATATATAAGTGAGTCAGTGACAAATTTAGCGATTTTTGAGGTCCTATATCTCGGAACTTACTAATGTTGAAAAATTAATTTTTTGGCAATGTTGAGACATGATAGCACTTAACAAGTGTATGAAATTACACCTATCCATCTGTCTCCAGTGCCGAGTTATAAGCCTCTAAAAAACGGTTAAGTTGTTTCGTGTAAAAGGAGGTAGTGCGAGAACATGGCTGGTGCATTACCGTGCACCTAGATCGTGACGGGCGTGCTAATTATCGTTTTCGGGTAAGGAAAACCCAACACCTGACCCGTTGTCGGCGTAAGGAATGTTGAATTAGGGACGAAAAAGCTACCCTGAGTGGGTTAGCGACTACACCCAGCAAGCGCCTTACGCCTAACCTAACCCTAACCTAACCTAACCCTAACCCTAACCTGCAATGTTAAGTTCAAGGTCACTACAAGATAATACTTTACGACCCCTACAACTTTTGTTTTAGTCATTTTCCGTGAAAATGCGTTTTTATCGAGATAATAGAGGGGTCCCACACTTTTAGAATACCGTGTATATCTCGAGAACGGTTTATTTGCCAGTTCTGAAAATGGTCTCATTCGATTTCTAGTCCCTCAATTACTATAAATCCGAAATTTGGTTGTTCTAAGGTGGGGGGGGCCTTTTGGAAGTATACCCCTGTTATCACCCCAAATGGCAAATGTACATTGTATGTACTATGCAGAGGTCGTAAGTTGCCAAGCACCTACAAATTGAACAGCACAGGGGCAAGGGGACTGGGCCGCTGGCTCCACCTAATCCCTTCCAGGATCCTTAATCTTGAGGTGTCAAGACGTACATACAATTTCCATATTCGCGGGGGATACATTTGACTATATAAACGTGCGATTTTTTCTGAGCATTAATGGATTTTTTTATAATACTTGTTCTTGACAACAATTGTTATTACGCAAAATTTATGAAAAGTGTAAAAACTCTCCTGTTATCTTAATAATGTAAATCTATGTTTACGTCAATGCGTTCGAATCGTCGCTCGCTATCGCATCATCTCATTCTGTTTCAATGTTTATCTTTAGCGACTTTCGTCGCGCGATAAATTTGTGGACGTGAAAGCCTCGGTCAATAAAAATAAATGTGTGACTGGAGGCAGGACAACAAATTTGATTCGACGGCAACTTACGATCTCTACATAGTACACTGACAGGGAATGATCCCGAATCCGAAAATTCCAAAAATTATGAAACTTTGTGGATACGTAGAAGATGCCCCCCTGATTAAAATGCAATTTTTTTTGCTGCCTGTTTTCAATCTAAGGAGGTAAAAATCGCGTTTAAAATTTCGGCCGTTTCTTCTTTTTCTTTGAAACCGTTAAAGATATCAAAAACTTCACAAACGAAAGTTGTTCATCTTAATGTATAGTGTTTTCCTAAGTTGAAACAAAAAATTGTTTAAACAATCACAAAAATTTATAAACAAAAATGTTTAAAAACTATTGAAAAGTTCTAAAACTTGTTATGAAAATAGTAAATGGTCTGTTGTTTAAAGCGATGTAACGTTTGATTAGCATTTGCTATTTGAAAGGAGCAAAAAATATTACTAAATATAATGATGTTTCATTTTTATTTTATTATTTGCAAATGGTAACTGATATAAAAAGGTCCTTAGAACAATAATTGTTGTTCTTGATAGAAGCACCGAATAAAGGGGAAACTCAAAGAAAAATATCTTTACAGATTTCAGAATACGTTTTCAATGCCCAGAAAAGTGAAAATCATCCCATTATCCACGATTTATCCGAATGTGGGCTTTAGATGCAAATGAAGTAATTAAACTGGAAGAATTTAAGGCATCTCAACATTGGTTACGGAGTTTCAGAAAAGCTCATAGAATAATTTCTAAAGAAATAAACAAATTTATTACCCATCCATACGAAATTGATTCTGCTAAATTGAACGAAATTGCCTCCTCTTTTGTTAATCGCGTAAAATCTTACATTAAAAATAATGTATTCAATGGTAACGAAACTGGATTTAATTTAGAGTTACATTCTGTTGTACTTCCTTAGAATTGTCCAATTTACTTTCGCTGCGACCCATAGTTGTAAAATACTTCCTACAGTTTCAGTTTCGGGTAAACTACTGTGCAGAGATAGAAAGAATATTAGCGAAAGTAATGCGGGTACGATTAGTCGTATTCGGTAAGTCACACCTCACCTCACATTCTAGATCGTTGCACGTTATTGGCCGATGCGGTCACATATTATTTGCGTCGCCTGACAAAGAAGTAAAATGACACTTCGTGACAAAGTGAAATGACAGGACGTTAACGTTGCGATGAACTTTAAACGCGAGGATCAAACGTGGGGACTGGGAGAAGCATGCAAAGCTCCCTTTGCCTCTGCACCGTCACATAAGTATTCTTTCTACCTACATATGCACAGTACTTCTTCTCTCTTTCTTGTTCTAGATTCTAAAAGAACAAGCAGGTAATTTCGGGCTAAAGATACTAGAATCATTGTTTAAACCGTGGAATGTTTATTTGGTGGCATCAACATCTGGAAAATTAACAAAAG